TCACCGGACCATGACCCCCTCCCCTATATGCTACTTTTAGCAAAAGTGGTCGTTTTTGCAAACGTGACCCCTTCACAATTCCAAATGAATTTTGAGGTCGGGGATAATTGCTTTATGGAAAAATGACACTTTACCGACAGACTTATCCATTCTTTATGAAATAGCCCTTCAACAACTGAAGATACTCTAAGGCTATCCCGACAAGAACAACTTAAGACATAACCGAAATGGATCGGCTTATTCTTTTGACCAAAATCCTAAACTACATTTATTTGACCATTTACTCTTTTTCTCTTTTGTTCGAAAAATAAGGTCGAACCTTATGTAGGTTGCCTACGTATCCCACATCCGGTGAGAATCAGACCTGCGTAGTTCGGTCCGTTTTGACACATTTGAAAGGGACGCAGTATTGAATTATTTTGAAATGACTCTTTTTCTTTTCTTCTTCTTTTTTGAAAATATTCAGCAAAGTTTCAGGATATTTCCAAATACCGGGGATTTTCAGAACTGGGCTTTATTTCTTCCCTACATCACTCTTGGTTTTTCTCTTGATTTATTTTTCATAGCCGGTCAACATGCATGCCGAAACAAATAAATATTCACATAGCACATAGGATGCATCGGGATAGTCTGTTATTTTGGGTACACCTATCCTAGACGGACACAACCCCTGTATTAAGTCCCCAAAGACAAATGCACGTGATGCAAACAAACGTTCCTACTAGGGATCTGGTATGAGGTTGTGTTATTCTAAGTTTAAACTTGGGGTTGTGTTCTTGACATGGCTTGCCCAAGCGAACAACTTGAGCCGAAAAGGGGGCAACGTACCGGTAGCACTAAAGTCTACCCGGCCTTGTTGTTGGCCCAACCTCGTTATGTTTGGTATAACTTCTACAGAAAAAGCGGTCCACGTAAACGTGTGCACTATTTTTAGAAGACTCAGAGGGGTAGCGTAAGAAGGCATTTTAATACAATTCAAACAATATCGAAATGGTAAATAAACAGTATTTAGCATATTAGGTTCACAAAAATACAGTAATATTAACAATAAATAAAGCCAAATAAAATCATATCAATAAGCTCAAATATTGAACCCTGAACCAAAGATTCTGGGTTCGGTCCCCAGCAGAGTCGCCAGAGCTGTCACACCTCCTATTTCTACCCCGGGAAGGCTATAAGGAGTTTTTTACAATTTAAGTGACAATCGAAACGGGATTATTTATTTAAAATTCAGAGTCGCCACTTGGGATAATTTTTGGTGTCCCAAGTCACCGGTTTAAAATTCTGAATCGAGAAAATTTGACTCTATCTACGGTCTGCGAACACAAAAATTCGGGTAAGGAATTCTGTTAACTTGGGAGAAGGTGTTAGGCATTCCTGAGTTCTGTGGTTCTAGCACGGTCGCTTTGATCATACTTGGCTTATTAAATTGTTTAACTACTCATTTTAGAACCTATGTGCATTTGCCTTTTTTAATTAAGAAATTATCTTAAAATAGGTCACGCGTACGTGTACCCATTTGTTTGGCGCGTCAAGAATCATGTCATGCGAACGTGTCCACAATTAATAACGCTTTCTTGTTATTAAGAATGTTTAGTCGAAATTGCGCGAACGCATACTCCAATTTTATTTTTTTTAAATTGTAATTATGTCACGCGAACGTGTACACAACCACGATGGTATATTAAACGTGCCTAAAGCAAACTACGAACATTCATTTTAATATCTAAGTTATAAAATTATTATGAGGGCCATAGGTAATATCTAAGCAATTTTATTTTTTTTAAATTGTAATTATGTCACGCGAACGTGTACACAACCACGATGGTATATTAAACGTGCCTAAAGCAAACTACGAACATTCATTTTAATATCTAAGTTATAAAATTATTACGAGGGTTATAGGTGATACAATTATGGATGGCACACCTCAATCTATCTTAAAGAAGAGAATTGTGTTCCATTAAAGCGGATTATAAGGTCTCTGATTAATCTAACTCAAGATTTAGTCTAAATTTACTAATTGCGAATATACATTGATAAATTAACGGGATTTTGATTACTTGAGAAAAATTGAGCCAGCTGATGAGTTTACGGAAAGTCACCGAACTTGGGCTCGAAATTGAGCCCACAGCCTAGAAGGGACGGCCAACCCTTCCCAGCGATTGAGTTGGGCCAGAAATAAACCCAGCAAAATAATGAACTCCCCATTACAAGCCATTTTCAACAAAAGGCAAAAAAAGAAAAGGCTGAGGCAGGCGACTCTTGGGCCTGAAATTATTTCCAAAACCAAAGAAAACTAGATTTGGTTATTTTTGGGCCTCACGTCAAACAAGTTAACTCATCAGGCCCAAAATTGAACTGAAGGCCTTCTTGATACTTGGTTGCTTAGACACATACATACAATACAAAACTGGAAATCAATACTGAAACAATCAAACTATTTACAGGCCATGAAATGTCAAATGGAGCATAATGTCATGTTAATAAAAAGCTTCAGCCAACTTGACTGAAAACAGAACAAACTAGTGTCTTAAATACTTAACCATAGCTATATGAAACATTTCAGACCCAACAAATCTTAGAAAACCCATGTGAGCTAAAGTCCTGCTTCAAACATTCTCACAAAGAACAGAAAAACTCACCAAATAAATTGCATCTTTATTATAAATAAACTAATTGAACCTTATGTTAACTTGAAATCCTACATACTTCTTAACAATAGACTTATCAGGCCTTCATATATAACATTTCCTATTAAATAAATAGCCATAAAATACATTCAGACCACATGAATATTGCAGAAAACTAAAACTAACAAAAGAACTAATTGAATTTGAGAGAAAGCATGGAAGTAAAAAAAACATTTCAATAGATTTCAATTTTCGGCTACATAGAATAAACAGACTTGCACTTCGAAGATCATTTATAGTCCGAGAGGTACCTGGATATTGAAACAAAATAAAAGGAAATGAGAAGTTCAGCAAGAGTAGATCAGCAACTCAAAAAGAACAATATTCAGCTTCTTCAGACCCTTCTTAAACCCAGAAAACCAGAAATCCCTCAAAAAACTTTGAAGTTCTTACTAATAGAGAAAAACCAAGGAACAATTCCAACCAATTTCAACTAAAATAATGCAGAAACTTTCAGTATTTTTTAAGGTCTGATCTATGTTGTGTTTTTTCAAAATTTTGGTGCAAAGAATAGTGCTGAAAGTCTGTCTATGAGTGAAAGAAAAGGGACTACTTATAGGCCTAAAGGGCCATGTGCTCAAAACCCTATCAGGGAAATATTCCTCAGCCTGAAAAAAACATCTTCTAACTACCTGGGATAGCTGGTTATCCCTTATTGGCTCAGCATATTTGTGCTAACCAAATAGGGACAACTGCCCCCTATTCTAGAAGCTTCTAAATACAGAAATTATCTGAAAGTCCCTATTTTATTTCCAACTTAACCCCTAAGTTTTCAGTTGTTCAATTAACCCCCCCCCCTCCCCCCAAAGTTATAGTGACTACAGAATAATGCAAACAAAACAAACAAGATCAACAGAGCCAAAAAACTCTAATTCACTTAAGCTTTAGACTAAACCTAACCTTTTGCCCAAGTATTGGAATCAAAATGAAGCAAGGATATAAACACTAATCACAAACCAAATACAATTAACCTAACTAATTAATGCCATCTAATCATAGAAAACAAACTATGCAAATTTAGGTCCATTAACTATCTTATCCTAAATCGAATTGAACTTTTTGACCTTATCTAATTAACCTATGAAATTCAAACGAGATTAAAATACTAAAGACAATTACTAAACAAAAATAGAGATGAGTGGGACTTTGGACAAACAGATGAGTAACCTTGGTCATAGAATGAAAACAACAAAGAGAAAGAAAAAGAAATGAACAGAGAAAAAGAAATAAAGGGAAAATTACCTACGTTAGCTCCTGAATCCACAAAACATCCGACCAATTCTCTTCAAGGAACGGAATGAACCTTTAACTAACACTAATCGACTGTCCTTGACAAGGACAATCGATTAATGTAAGTTTGGGGTTCACTCGACCACATACTGACCGAAAATAGAAGGGGGTGAAATTTAGCGCCTTTTCCGGAACCCTAGATTCAAAATTTGATAAAGTTGGGGCTGATTTGAAGGGAATCAAAGGGATATTTGGGAAGATGAGGGGTGGGGGACTGCATGGTGTGAGTTTGAGGTTATTTGGGTGAGTTAGGGTTTTGGGAACTATGAGTTTAGATTCAAGATTCGAACAGTTTGAGGGGGATTTGGGAAGAAGACCAAGAGATCCGGAAAGAGGAAGGCAAGGAGATTATGTGGTGTAATTTTGGTGGTGTTTGGAGGTGGTCCGCCGCCGTGGGGCGATTTCCGGCGGCAGAATAAGGCGGAGACGGTGGGGGAATTTTAGGGCGGCTGGTCTCTAGGGTTTGGGGCTAGAGACGGACTGAGAGGGATTGGAATGGAGGGGTGAGAGAGTTTCAGAAAGTCTAATACTTGGGGGGTCCTTGGTTCCGGGCCGTTGGATTACCAAGATCCAACGGCTGTGATGACAACAGGATGGAACGAGGTCATTTGGGTGTAGTGGAGCCTGGACCAGGTAACTGGCTCTTGGGCTCGGATTTTGGGGTGGGTTCGGGAGAAAATGTTTGGGCTTCATCCCTTTTGCCCAATTAAAACAAAACCCTTTTGCTTAACCCTTTATTTTCTTTCCTTTTTCTTTTTCTTTTTCCTTTTCCCTTTTTTTCTTTAATTAAAAATCTAAATTAAAATCCTAAATTAATCTAGATCGTAAAACTAACCTTTCCTAAAAATTATAAAAATTCCTTGATCCTAAATCAAAAAGAAAAATCAATAATCTATTAAAAAGGTAAAAATGTAAAATTGGCCATTTTTATAATTTTTATTTTAATGAAACAAATAATTAACTAATTAATCCTAAAAAATGTAAAAATAAAAGCTAAATGCAATGCATAGTATTTTTTGTATTTTTTTCATTATTTGAATAAAAGTAAACATGCACAGAAATGCCACCAATTAACACAAATTCCCACAAAATCCTATAAAATTGCAAAAATTGAGAAAAATTTATTTTCTTATATTTTATGGGAGTAATTCCTATAGGGCAAAAATCATGTGCTCACAGTCCCCGATTCATTGGCGTTCGATTTTTCTGGTACAAGTTCGGCTCTATGAATAAATTCTTGTGATATTTCGAGCTCAATTTGCTTAGTGTTCGATTCTGATTTTAGAGTTGTGCTATCGCAGCTTGTTGAGTCTGCAACATCTCGAATATTATTTGAAGGCTAATTCCGCCTTCTTCACCGCTCTGTGCATTCTGATCGGCTGCTCGAGCATCCCTGCAAATGCTATTCTCAGGGACGACGCCCAAATTCCCATTAATGGCAATGCAGGAGTTGACATCGACTGGGTCTAGGGCCGGCGGTCCGTCAGGGTTGACTGGAGGAACTCCGTTTCCCGTGGCGGCAACGTTTTCGTTCTCGCCATGAAGACCAAGGCCGTTGTCCAAGTGAGTGGATGCTATTTGAGAGTTTAACATATTGATTCCTAAAATCAAAGACACTTACGAGAACAACCGTAAAGCAGTGTGTGATGAGAATTAATACCAGGCAATCACTATTACCCTTGGCTCACGGTGGATGCCAAACTGTTTACCCTACAAATTGGATAACAATTAAACTTATAATGTGGTTTTAAGGATACATGATTTCACCTAATACCAATTGATGAATATGAAGATCAATAATAAAAATTGACAATGAGATAAAGCAAATTAGTGTTGAAACGTAATTCAGCCTTCGAGCTTGAGTGCCCTCGAACTGGTCGGTACTCGAATAGTTAAGAAATAAGCAAACTAATGAATAAGAATATAAGCTCGATAGAAAGTATTGTATTGCTTTGATATGCGTGTATGTAAGGTGATTACAAAATGATTAGAACCCTCTTTATATAGTGTCACACCTCCTTTTTAGCTACACCCCGTAAAGGGCATAAATATAAAGGAGTTTTTTCAATTAAAGGACAATCAAAACGGGATTGTTTATTTATTTAAAAATCAGAGTCGCCACTTGGGAGATTTATGGTGTCCCAAGTCACCGGTTAAATCCCGAGTCGAGGAAAATATTGACTCTGTACTACAGTCTGTGAACACAGAAATCTAGGTAAGGAATTCTGTTAACCCGGGAGAAGGTGTTAGGCACTCCCGAGTTCCGTGGTTCTAGCACGGTCGCTTTGATCATACTTGGCTTATTAAAATTGTTTAATTATTGATTTTAGAACCTATGTGCATTTATCCTTTACCTTTTTTAAATCACTTGATCAGTCGTAATTAAAGAATTGAGTTACACGTACGTATACTCTTTTCCTTTGGTGCGTCAAAAATCATGTCACGCGAACGTGTCCACGATTAATGACGCTTTGTTAATTATTAGGAGGATTTGGCCGAAGTTGCGCGAACGCATACCTCGAGTTACTTTTAGAATTAAATTTGCCACTATGTTACGCGAACGTATACACAGTCACAATAGTAGTCTAAGTTAAGCCTAAAGCAAACTACGAGTGTTTAAGATTATTTTATACTAAGTTAATATTAATGCGAGGGTCATAGATTATTCGCTAAATGGCACGCCTCGAATTATTTTAAGAAAATAGTTATATATTTTAAAGGCAAACTAAAGGTGCTCCTATTTTTAATTTAATTTAAAAACTAGTTATCACAACCACGTCACGGAAACCGTACCTGTAGTTGTAAAAATTTAATTACGCCTAATTTAATCATTAGAAACATTTTCATTCACCATCCACAAAAACATATAAAATCTATAACCAAAGTAAGTGAAAATACGGAAGTTACAAATTATAAGAGAACATGTGACCAGAACCATTTTGCTTAATCAGTACATCACCACATTCCATGATAGGTTTGTATGCATGCTTTAAGTCATTAAATGGATAATTAAAATAAGAATGCAAAATATCTGTTACCAAGAGAATTAGTGTTACATGTATTTTGAAGGAAAATGATATTCTTTTTTTATTTTTTAAACTAATCACTATGAATCTTTCATTCAATAGCTAACAACAAGGATCAACATGGTTGTTAAATACTGATTCTTTCGCCTCAAAATCCAGAAAAAATCACCCCAAACAAATTAGCCAACTTCTTATCATTTTGAACCAAATTTGTTATACAAAAAAAACACACAAAAGAGAACATTAAAATGAACGATTCTGTCCGGCGACAATAGAAACAGAAGCGCAACAATTTTTTTTTACTTTTTCCTAAAATATGCTGGACACTTTCTTAAACCCTCTTTTATTTTAAACTTTGAATTTTAAATACAAGGAAAGCATATACTCATTCAATAATTAGAAAGCCAAAGATAAAATACTCTACATGAGCTAACAAAGAGATGAAAGTCAATAGCAACAAAACAAATTAACAAACCAATGCAGTATTATTATCAAAAGCACAATAAAATAGAAACTGAACTTACATGAAAAATACAAGAATTGAATCCAACGTCCTCTGGATGAAACTACGATCCAAACCTCGAAACTCGCCAGAACCGCGACAAAATTCAGGAACGGACCTCGAGTCGGCACCTCTGATTTGCTCTGTTTGGACGATGCTTTCCAGACCATTTTTGTTCTACGTTTTACTCTATTGCGGGTGGTGTTGCTTGTCGATTTTGGTAGGGTCCAGGATTTCGAAATCACGACTGAAGGGTGTTCTCTTGGAATGGAGAGAGGCGAGGTCGTCCGTTCTTTGTTTGTGTATGTGTTTCATTCCTATATTTTGGGGTGTTGCTGGTTTTTCCGATTTGGAGGGAGGTGGAGACCGATCTTTGCCAATCAAATTCCGAGGAGGACAAAAATGGCTGCTGCTGTTGGTTGTTATGTTTTTTGACTGCTGAAGCTCTTAGGCGTTAGTCTGCTGAGAGCTACCAGGAATGAAGAAGACAATGGATTTTAAATGGAAGGTTGCCATTCTTTTTTATGGGAAACGGCGGATGATGGGTTTTTTTAGGCCTAGGTCAATTTAGAGATTAGGTACTATTATATAGGGGTAGGGATTAGGTTAGGGGTATGAGTCTAGTAATTATGAGCTGGAAAATTATGGGCTAGGTCCAAAATTAGGCCTAAAAATGGGTTGTTCGAGCCTAAGTTTTATTCTTTCCCCAAGAACGAGATTAAAATATGATCTCATTTATTAATCAGTACTACTTAAATAAAATAACTGTTAAAATAAGAGTGAATGTTAAAATAAACTATTTTTTTGTGCGTTTTTCAAGATTAAAAATGACTACAAAAATATTAATGAAACTATTTTTTTTTTGTAATTTTTATTTTCTTGTAATAAAATAAAGTAAAAAGTCAAATTAATTAAAATAACTATATTAGGCCTAAATATTTACATGCTAAAATATAAAAAATCTTGGGGAGGGTCAAAAATCACATGTCTACAGCTGCCCCTCTTTGACTGGAAACGTACAGAGTTTTCAGACAAAGATTGACTAGACAGGTTTTTTGACCCGACCCTTATTTGGAGAGACTAAAACTGAGAGAGAAAGTGAATGTGATTGAGCCCTGCTATCTGGGCTGCCTACATATCTTTGGCTATAAAGGAATCAGGCCACGTGTAGTTCAGAGATGAGTAAGATGATGGAGTATACCGAGGTGGAGAGCCGGTCGAGGTGCCGTTCCGTCGAGGTTCCGGTTCGCAGTCCTGCTATTACATCAAAATCAAAACATGAAAAAGACTAGCTAAGCCTATCAACTACGAGTTACAAGATTCTTATCTATAAGTCTTCTAAAGCTTGATCTTGAGTCTTGAGTGGTTCTTCATGTAGACTTTAGATTTGAACCTTAATGCTTGCCAGCTGCAGGTACTAGCTCATTCTTCTTTAACCTTTTGGATCAAGACCGGACATGTAGTGCTTGTGACTTCCACCATGTCTTAAGCAGTTCACATCTTCCATCAACTTCTGCATTTGGATTCACTTCTTGCCTTTCTCTCTTTTTTCTTTATTGTGACTAACTTCTGTTGATTGCCTCGGACTGTTGACTCGCATTCTTGCCGCGAGATTCTTTGGTTGCTGACTTGAATTACAATTTGAGATGCTTTTCCTTTTCTTCAGGTGGACGCCTGACTGTTGAACTCGAACCGTCTTCTCTTGTTACTTGACACTGTTTTCCTTTGCACCTTGAACCATTTTCCCCTGAAACTTGAACTGTCTTCCTTAGAAACCGCTACTTTCCCTAGAAACTTGAGTTGTCTCCCCTTGTTCTCCAGGTGGGCACCTGATTACAACAAAATAGACAAAACAAAGAAATTTTCTGCCCCAGTTTGCACTAGAAAGATTTGTGGGTTGTTAGCAAAATTGTAAATCGCTTGTACTATTGATGCAGTCATGAAATTAAACTAAAAAATAGACTAGCAAAACTATAAACTAAGCTTGACTAAAGTAAAAACTGACCCTATTCTCCAGGCGAAGCTCCCTGACTGCTAACTTGAAATGTATTTCCTGCTCTTCAGGCGGGCTCCTGACTGCTGACTTGAAATGTATTCCCTGCTCTCCAGGCGGGCTCCTGATTGTTGGACTTGAAATGTATTCCCTGCTCTCCAGGCGGGCTCCTGATTGTTGGACTTGAAATGTATTCCCTGCTCTCCAGGTGGGCTCCTGAATTCTAACTTGAAATGTATTCCCTGCTCTGCAGCGGGCTCCTGACTTCAAGATAGACAAAACAAAGAATTTGAAAGTGAAAATTTAAATTGTACTCCATGGTTCTCCAAGCGGGCTCCTGACTGCTACGCTTGAAAGTATTCCATGTTATCCAGGCGGGCTCCTGACTACTGACTTGAAATGTATTCCCTGATCTCCAGGCGGGTTCCTGACTTCAACATAGACAAAACAAAGAAATTGAAAGCTAAAATTTAAATTGTACTCCCTTGTTCTCCAGGCGGGCTCCTGACTGCTGTGCTTGAATGTATTCCCTGCTCTCCAAGCGGGCTCCTGATTACTGACTTGAAATGTATTCCCTGCTCTCCTGGCGGGCTCCTGACTTCAACATAGACAAAACAAAGAATTTGAAAGCTAAAATTTAAATTGTACTCCCTTGTTCTCCAGGCGGGCTCCTGACTGTTGCGCTTGAATGTATTCCCTACTCTCCAGGCGGGCTCCTGACTGCTGAGTTGAAATGTATTTCCTGCTCTCCAGGCGGGATCCTGACTTTAACATAGACAAAACAAAGAATTTGAAAGCGAAAATTTAAATTGTACTCCCTTGTTCTGCAGGCGGGCTCCTGACTTCGAAATAAACAAAACAAAGAATTCGAAAGCTAAAATGTAAATGATACTCCTTTGTTCTCCAGGCGGGCTCCTGACTTCGACTTGAAATGTATTCCTTGATCTCCATGTGGGCTCCTGACTGCTAGACTTGAACTGTTTCTCCCTATTCTCCAAGTGGGTACCTGATTTCAACAATAAAAAAACAAAAACAAAGAAATTTTTCCTGCCCCAGTTTGGTAACTGGGCACATATGTGAGTGTTAAACTGAATTATATTACCAAATATTACTAAGAATTTGAAAACTAGGTCCCATTATGCAGGGGGGCCCTGACCACTCTTAACTAAATGACAATTTTAAATCTAAGTTATATCTTCTACAGGTGTGACTTCTGCTAAATCTTGCTATCTAAGAGAATCTTTAAACTACTCCCCATTATCCAGGAGGATCCTGAAAATCAAGGGTCAAATTTTATCTTAAGGGTGACAACTTTCATGTCTGAATTATACTACCCTACAGCAGAGTTTATGCTAAATGTTGTTATCTAATCGAAATTTTAAAGCTAAGTCCCATTATTCAGGAGGGTCCTGGAAACTCCTAATTGAATCATATCTCGAACATGCAAACTTTTAAGTTGACTTATATTTTTTGGGATACATTTATACTAGATTATGCTATTTCTGAACTTTAAACTAGGTCCCATTTTCTAGGAGGGTCCTGAAAATCAAAAGAAAATCAAACCTGTTTGGTGACTGCCTTTCTCCACGGAGAATTTCTCTCAACCAAAATTTCCTGCCCCTGTTTTAGTCAAAGAAAAATTTTGTTAGTTTAAAATGTAGTGGTTGGTTTGTGGCCTTGACTTTGAGGGCGATTGCTCCTTCACTTCCTATGATAACTGATTTCCACTCGAGAACCTTGCTTTCTTATGGACTAACCACTTTCTCTGTCATCCTTATCACAGAAAATACCCCTTATCCGTTCAGACCCAATTCCCTTTATCCGTTGCATTGCTCATGAACTTACATTTACCAACCTTT